GGATCCCACAGCCACCAAGCAGACACAGATTCTGGAACAAGTAGGTTATTTTGTTCATTATGCTGAACCTAAGGGAGCTTCCCCCCTTTGACCAGGACTGTTGTGATTTCTGTCTGGAAATGTCTTCCCTCACAGGCACTGTGCAAGGCTGAGGACCCAGAAGACATCTGGGCAGCTACTCAGGCCAAGGCAGAGCAAGTGGCTGAGCTGGCAGAATTCAATGAGAACATTCCTTTGGATGCAGAAGACCGGTCCAGCAAAGAGGAAGAGGAAGAATTTTCTAAAGCAGAGCAGGAAATTGCTTCGCTTGTAGAACAGGTACATAAAATCCTTCCTTTTAACCTGAGATGGAAGTGGAAGGCTGTCACTTTGTTCCATGACAAAGACCTGCTGCAGTCATACAAAAATACTGTTTCCCTTAGAACAGGAGTGTCTAACCTTGACAGCTTCAAGATTTGTGGACTTTTAACTCCCAAAATTGCTGGCTGGGGAATTGAAATCCACAGGCCTTAACAGTTGCCAAGGTCGTACACCCCTGCTTTAGATTCAGGCTGAGGATTTTTTCTTTAGCTTGTTTGGTCTCAGAAGCGAGGCACGGGAGGAGTCACATGTGGGTATTAACACGGCCCATTTGCCCGGAGACTGAGGTAAATTTGAGGTCACTTCATCTACTTCCTCCTCGTGACTCCCCAGATTAACCTCAGTCTTCGGCCCAGAAGGAGTAAAATTCTGACTCTCCAGTGGTTTGAGATTTGTTTGGGTATTAGATTTGTCTGTTAGTGTTTTTCCATTTGTGTTCCTCCCACCTCTCTTCTTTGAGTCTCTGTCAGTTTAAAGTTTTTTTCTCTGCACAAGCTGTGCTTGCTGCATTACAAGGGAGCCTCCAGGCCGCTGGCTGGTTGAGAGGGAGGTTCCAGGCCGCGTGCCGTTGGGCGCTGTCCGAGTGACCCCCAGATCCATCGGAGGGGGTCGCAGAGCAATCAGGAGGTTCCTGGAGGAGCGGCTCGGTCGGAGCCGGTTCGGCATCGGACCGCGTGGTCAGCGGTCACCATTTTGATTGGTGGCCATTTTGGACGCACGTGGAGGGGCGTGGAGTTTGGCGGTCTTGCTTTCCAGCCGCCGCAGACGCCCGGAGTCACCGCCAAGAAAGGAACGAAGATTTTCGGGCCTGTGCTCCGCCGGTGATCCGGGGAGGGCCCCCTCCCCTTTTTTTAAAAAAAAAATTTTTTTATTTTTTTTGTTACATAGACAACACATACTCACAACAATGAAAAAAAACCAACAAAAAAAAACAAACCAGAAAAAAAACCCATCATCACATATAGCATGTCGTTTGGTTACAGGTGTTTTAACGTTTATCATTCTTATACATTTATTAT